GACATCGCCATGGCGACGACAAAATCCACCTCGCAAGTAATGACATCTTCATGGCGACGACAAAATCCACCTCGCAAGTATTGACATCGCCATGGCGACGACAAAATCCACCTCGCAAGTAATGACATCGTCATGGCGACGACAAAATTCGCCTGCCTCGCAATAAAAAAACGTCGTCGTCATGGAAACGCATCTCGGAGTACGTTCCTTCTGCTTCAGTTCATAATCACGTTTAATTTCGGGGCGAGAGCGCCCGCCAATCCAAACACCGACGTGACGTGTCCGCGCGTGTCTCCCGGCGGCGCCACCTACCGCCTCACTTCTTCTTTGCGGACTTCTTGCGCTTCTTTTCCTTCTCCTCGTCGTCGCCCGGCGCCCCGGCCGTCTCCTTGAAGCGTTTCTTCCCCATAGGCGTCTTGCTGTACCAGTTCTGCGGACGGGAGGGCGGAGGAGGCAGGCAGAGACGGGTGAGAAGCAAGAGAAAAAAACACGGGAGGTTAGTATTACATTACATCAGGAGTCTATCAATATTGATAGACTCCTGATTACGCGTTATTACTATTAGACCGTGGGTATATTATGACTGCACTAAGTATGTAGCAGGTCGTGTATGACAAACAGTCAAGCAGGGTGGCATCATGCAGGCATACAGACAGACAGACGGACAGACATGCATAGAGGCAGGCAAACAGACAGGCAGGCACGCGTGTAACGTATGTGTGAGTAATGGAAGACGCCATGGTAAATGTAATTGACTGCGGCATACCTTGAAAGCTTCCTCCTCTTCCCTGTAGATGGGGTCGATCTTCGCAAGTGTCACGGTAAACTCGACCGTGGTGAGAGCTCTCATATGCTGCTGTATGAGCCTTCTCTCTGTCAGCACCTGTACACACAAACAATAGACCTGTACACCCAAACAATAGACCTGCACACACAAACAATAGACCTGTACACACAAACAATAGACCTGCACACACAAACAATAGACCCGTACACACAAACAATAGACCTGCGCACACAAACAATAGACCCGTACACACAAACAATAGACCTGCACACACAAACAATAGACCCGTACACACAAACAATAGACCTGCACACACAAACAATAAACCTGTACACACAAACAATAAACCTGTACACACAAACAATAGACCTGTACACATGAACAATAGACCCGTACACACAAACAATAGACATGTACACATGAACAGCCCTGTGCAATGAGCAGCTCTCTACACTCACACATGCTATCTTCCATGCAGTTATACACACCCAGAGCCTTTCCACATACACATACGTTTTCTTCCAACCATTATATATATATTATAATATGTCAGCTATGTGTAATAAATGTGTATATGTGTGTGTGCGTGCGTGCTTATGCGTATGTGAATGCGATCCTATCAAATTCTCATTGGTTCTCAAAGAAAAAATCTAAAGTCTAGTGACTTTGCTGCAAAAGGATGTGCGGAGGCCAAGGTCGAACTCCGGGGGAGGGGAGGAAGGGGAATTAAGAGTGAACTCTAGGAAAGGTCGCTGGGCGGAGGTCAGGGCGAGTCACCAGGGGGCGCTAGCATACCTCCTTCACCGCGATGTTGATGTGGGCGGACGTGTAGCCGTCGGACACCTTGGACAGAGAGCTGAGGTCGAACTTCGCGTCCAGCCGGCCGCCATGCTTCTTAATGAGCGACTTCCAGAGAACTGCAAGCAGCCGCCGCAATTAACTACATTATTAATTGCATTAATTACATTATTAATTGCATTCATTAATTGATGTAATTTTAATTACGTCGTTTAATTTATCGAAAAAAATTCGAACGAATAAATCCGAGGCAGGAGCGTGGGAATTTATATACACTTTGTACACGAGTGCGCATGCACGAACACACACGAACACACGAACAGACACACATGCACACGTATGCACGCACGACACACACACGTACGCACGCACGACACACACACATACACACACATATACATATATATATCCATGGTATAACTTTTCGTTTATTGTACTGGTGCACACGTGTAATTACTTAGGAGCAAATAAATCGAAATAATTCGAATAAATAATTAAGATAATTCAAACAAATAAATCCCGCCCTGACCCGCTCCAAGGCGATGACTCACCGAACCTGGACGCGTAGTCCGGTCTCGGCAGCAGCACGATCTTCTGGAACGTTGCCAGGATTCCCTTGATGTCGGCGTCGAAGGGAGCTCGCGACGTACCGACAAGCAGCACACGCTCTCCCGGCACAAACTTCTTCACCAGCTTGGGAAGGTCCTTCTTGAGCCTCTTCGGGTCGCACTGCGAAAAACATCAATTTATTTATTTATTTATCAAATCATTTATTTATTTTCGGTGCAAACTTCTTCACCAGCTTGGGAAGGTCCTTCTTGAGCCTCTTCGGGTCGCACTGCGAAAGACATCAATTTATTTATTTATTTATCAAATCATTTATTTATTTTTGGTGCACACTTCTTCACCAGCTTGGGAAGGTCCTTCTTAGGCCTCTTCAGGTCGCACTGTGAGAGAGCGGAGGAGGCGCGGACAGCGAAGAGCGGAATCACACGTATGTATTTATTGAGTTATTTGAGTTATTTATTCATTCATTCGCTCGTCGAGTTATGTATTTAATTATTTATTTATTGAGGTATTGGCTTATTTACTTGTTTGTGTATTTATTCAATTTTTGAGTTATCACTTGGTTTTTTATTTCTCTCTTCCTTTATTTATTTATTTAATTATTTATTTAATGACATCAGTACATGACGTACAGGATATTACATTTATGTATTTGATTGATTGATTAATTTAACGATGTAAAATACGGCAGTCACATTTTGAACATGAGCTTGCAAGCTCCTCAGTTTAAAAAAGTATGGCACGCTAGATCTACGTATGAGATGTGCGTGATTGTGTCCGTGCGTGCTTGCGCGCGCGTGTGTGTGTGTACGAGGCATGGAAAGATTTAAAAATAGTAAATACCGTCTCGGAGGCTTCTGACTTTTTCGCGAAGAGTCGCTCTGCATTTCCGACATATATGACCGAAGGCGCATAGTGCTTTCCAACCTGCAAGACAGATATAACACATCAGCTTTCATAGAACTGCGTATGTGCATCTGTTTATATAGAATTTCGTGAATCGACTTTATAGAATTGCATACATTATCCCATACGTGATTATTCATGTAATCGCTATGTGTACCCGTGTGTACTACATCATCTATACAGTATATACTACGGTATATATCTACCACCAGCAGGTTAAAAAAATACATGGGAGCGATGAACGATGAGCCCTTCAAACCTTCGAAATCGCTCCCGTGAGGGTCAAAATATAGCTTCCGTAAAATTTTTGACGAGAGCTATTTTTTCCACAGACTTAAAAAAGAGCTCCCGTGAAAAAAAAGTAATTTTTTCCATGACCACCAGCCACAACTCCGTTCCACAGAACTACGGCATACCTTATAGACAAGGTGCAATAACATTTCCAGGCCCTTCTTCCCCGGATACCGGTCGCCTAGGTTCTCCGCGGTGAGATCAAACAAGGTGGCGCCGGTGTCCGTGCAGATGGCGTCGACCAGCATGCGCTTACCCGTGCCGCGCGGTCCGACGAGAATCATTGAGGTGATGTGTGGCGCCCTCTCGTGGACAAACTTGGAACCTGCGTGGTCGAGTGAAAGAAATATATGTTAACTAGTCCGTGAACATGATAATCGACCTAGTGACAGTTGTACGTACTAAATTACATGAACCCCCTAGTCAGTGGCGTAGCTAGGATTTTTTCAGCGGGGGGCACTTACACTGGGGGGCCTTACATTTTCGTGGGGGGGCGCACAATATATAATTTTATTGAGATGTGGTTCAAACCTTCTTTCATTGTATTATACTGTTCTAACAGCATTGTTTTTAATTCAAATTTTTTTTATCAAGCATGAATTTTCATGGGGGCACCTTGGGGGGCTACAGAAAATTGTGGGGGGGCACGTGCCCCCCAGGCCCCCCGTAGATACGCCCTGCCCCTAGTGGCAGACAAGTGTGCTAAATTACCAAACATCCACCAAGTGTAGATCAGCGTAAAAGACAATGCAGAGCTACCTATAGCGGCAGATACGCGTAGCTAGACACACACGGACCCACCTAGCGGCAGACACGCGTACTAGACAACAC